AAAAATGAAAAGCAGATATTCTTCAAAATCAAAAGATGTAACTGAATGAGTTTTACTTCTCCAAATATCAGTCTTTTTAGTTTGATTTTGTTTCTCATAGGAAATCAGAGTAGTGGAATTGTGAATGACTACTATTTGAAGGGGGGAGGGAAAGACTTGCTTAGCAATGGTGGAAACATAGTTATGGGAAAATTTCTCACGTGCACAGAGATCAAGTGTCGTAAAAATATAAATGGATGTTTGGATGAGTATGAAAAGTGTACCAATTCTTGAAACATGAAGGACTATTAGTGCTCCATGTTAAAAGACAGAGATTACTTTGACTCTTAACTTAAAGATAAAGGACAATTTTGATCCTTTTCTAGGCCAAATCATTTCGGTGCAACTTCCCTTTCTTTCCTTCCTAACTTGGAATGATTTTTCCTTTCTTTCATTTTTGTTTTAAGGTGGGTTTGGTGAGGACAAAATTATTTTCAATATATATTTTAAATTTCTTTTTATGTTTGGTTGATTAAAATACTTTAAAAAATATCTTTTCTTTTAAAAGAGATAAGACACAAGTACCCCCTAGACTATGACCGAAATTCCAGAGATACTTAAACTTAACTAGGGTCCTATTACCCCCATGAACTCATTTTTTTTCCTATTTGTGTGCACCTTTTGTGCTAGCGTGACACCTTCAACCACCCAAGTTGGTTGTGTTTGTACACACTCGTCTGCCACGTGTGTAAATATTTTTTTAAAAAATATTTTTATTTTCTTTATCTTGTATTTAAATTTAAGTTAATATACATTTTTTTAACCTTGTATCGAAACTTTTTTTTACCTTCATTCATTGTTTTTTCTCTTTTATTTTTCTATTGATTTTATTTTCTTTGTCTTTCGTTTTGATTTGATTTCAAATCCAATTACAAATGTTTTGTATTTAAAATAAGTTAATTGTGAATGGATATCCAAATAAGTGAAGAAAATCAAATAAAACATTAAAAAATTAAAACGTTAAAATTAAAGGACACTTTTAACTTATTTTAAGAAAATACACATAATTTTTTTAAAAATTAATTAAAAGTGAAAAGATAATAAATTAATTTTAAAAAAAGTTTAAAGTGAGAAAGAAATTAAAATAAATATTTTTTTTAAAAATAAAAATAATTAAATCATATAAATTTTAATATCAATAAATATGTGTACTAACTAATTATAAAGTTACAAATCAAAAAATGACATGTATCCAATTTATGCACTCATCACTTGCCTTCAAGAGAGTGTGCACACTCTTTGTGCAATGTCAGCATTTGTGGTGTATATATCCATTTGAAATTAGTTTAGGGGGTAATACGACTCTAGTTAAGTTTATGTGTGTCTCTAGGATTTCGGTCATAGTCTAGGGGGTACTTGTGGCTTATCCCTTTTAAAAATAATAAGTTACTCAAGAATTAGGAAAATGATTTAAATCAATTTTGGTCTTGATAACTTATACGAGTCCACCACTCGTCACAAGACAAGGTCCTTAACACAATATAACACATTAAAAGATAAAGTACATAATGAACCAACAAGGATGTTTACATGGAAACCTTCTTGCTCAAGGGAGGAAAAATCATGACTTGTCCCACATGATTTTTAAACTGCTCTTTACTATTTTCAAGCAACAAGTGATTACGAACTCCAATAATCATACGAGGATTAAACTCTTAATCCTACAACCTATAACAACTCTATTATAGAATGAGCCAAAGCAACAACTATATTGCCAACTATATCAACTAACTCTAGTTAATATAGACTTCAAAAACATACTACTTAGCTAACCGTAGCTATGCTCATTGTCAACTGGAATAAGAATAACACGATCCAAATTCCTTTATAGATTAGGAATAGATCTTATAGGTTAAGATTCAAAAACATAACTTTCTGATGAACAACTAAAGGCGCACTTGATAGCTCTATCAGGTCCCTTCCGATTCTTGAAAAGTTGTTGTTTTCTTGTGAGAGCAGGGGCAACTCAACATAATTCGTGGCCTAAAGCAAAATTTTAATTAGAGGCCTAAAATTTAAATAAGCTTTATCCGTATTTATTTATTTTTCTAAATCTTTAGATGTAAATTATTACTTAATATCTTTTATATAAATGATTTTTCAAATACTTTTTTAAATTATTATTTTAGGTAAGTTTTTATCAATTCAACATTGAAAAACATCCTTTTATTGAGACAATTATTATATGAATGGTTAGCATAATTCTATAAGTAATAAGTTGATAAACTTTAAAGATAATAGTTAGAATCATAGAATCTGATTTACAAAGTTGATAGCTTGGTATACCTACTTTAATATGAAAATTTACGTAAAATTAAAAAAAAATTGTAATCACTTTGGTCAACACTTTTCGACTATTTGATTCATATTTTTGACAGATAACTATCATCGATTTGAAGAAATATAGTGCAAAAAGAGTTAAAAAGGATAAATAATGTGAGTGTTAGCGAATAAAATGTAAAAATCCAAAACAATTTTTTCTTGATTTATTCTATTTTAATTTGGTTAAGATACATAATTTTTATTTGTAGAAATTTGAGGCCCCCAAAAATTGGAGGCCTTGGGCTTGCTGCAATTTCTAATGGAGTTGGCAGATCTGTAACTATGGGAAGTTTGGGTGTGGAGTCCGAAGAACTTGGCAGTGTTGTTTTTGCCCATTCTAGGTGGGCTGATTTAATGGCAGTGTTGGAGAACAATGTCTTAAATGGAAAAACATCCTCAACAAATCGCACATCTCAGGATAAGTACACCTTTGCAAAAATTGGATCAAAACACCGGTGACAGTGATGGGATAGTGAGAATCCAAGATACACATGGGGTAGATTTTGATTCAAGTTTATTTCTGGAGTATGGTTTAAGCCATGGATAGCTTAAACAACCAAAAATCCGTAGGGAGTTATCAGGGCCGACTCAACAACATTAGGGGCCTAAAGCAAAACTTAAGAGAGGGCCCTAATATTTTATTTTTTTCATCATATATACTTTTATTTAAAATCTACTTTTCAAGCTATTTTAGATGCAAAGTCATTAGGTACTGTTTTATAATCAATTTGTTTTAATAATTCCTTTTCAAATGATAATATAGCCAAATTATTCGATCTCTCTTGAGACATCGTGATCTTAAAGAAGATTTAATCAATTTTAATTTCGAAAAAACTTCTTTCGGTTGAGGCAACGGTTACATGTACTGTTAACATTATTCTATAAGCAATATGTGTATTTGGAAAAGAATCAAATCTTTTTATTTGATTGAGTATTTTGATTAGATCATTATCTTCTACTTGTATTATTTCCCTTAACACTTTTATTCAAAAAATAAATCTAGACCATCAATATCAGAATAACAATTACGTGTTAAAGAAAATTCAAGGTTAAAACAATATTTTTTAAATTCTCAACATCTAGTGATCTCAATATTTTACCACTAAATAAGAAATCAAAAATATTTTCATATGCTTCAATTGGTTCAAATCTATTTTGAAGTGAAAAAATAGTTTGATCTACTCTACATATATAAAGCAATCAACTCTAAAAGATTCTTCGAGGGACTTTGTGATTTCGATATCCATATTTTCATCAAAGTGTCTCTTACGAAATTCAGGTTTATTTTCATCTCATATGCAATTTCAAATCATAACACTCATAGTACATATAAACTTTTTTAAAAAATAACATATATAAGTAATTGTTTTTTTTAAAATGGATCCCCTAAAATTATGGGGCCCCAAGCGATGGCTTTAGTGGCCTAGGGGTTAAGACTATCTTGGGAGTTATAATCAGGTGATTTTCTAAGTAATCTTTGGAATGGGGATTAATTATCAAGGTGAGAGGTTGGAAGACAATTGATGAGGTAGACAGTGTGATGGCATGCAAAAGACCTGAATCGGGGTGGGAGGAACGCCTCATGTAAGAGTGTTCTTGCAATTTTGACAATATGACGATGTCGTCGTTTTGCAAGTGCAACTTGTTGGGGTGTATAGGGTGGGGTGGAGAGGTGTTGAATGTAGTGAAGTGAAACATAGGAGTCAAGACTTTTATACTCACCTCCTCCATTAGTATACAATGACAAAATTTTGGTGTCAAAATGTTTTTCCATCATAGGATGAAAATTTTGAAAGATCTCTTTAACTTCACTTTTCTTTGTTAGTGTGTAGAGCCAAGTGTACTTTGTATATTGGTCAACAAAATATAATAATACAACTTTTTGTCAAGAGATAAGATTGGTGATGGCCCCCATAAATCACTAAAAATAATTTGAAGTGGTTTAGAGTTACACAGTGAGAATTGGGTAAAATGATGTCAATGAGCTTATTAGATAAACAAGAATTACAATGAAATTTTTTGTCTCGCTCATGAAACGGTAGTGAGAATTTATTTAAAATAAATCTAAGAACTCTAGAGTGAGGATGACCAAGACGTTGGTGCCAAGTAGTGAGAGGACTGGATGTGGAGATAATGTGAGCATGGGGATGTGAGACAGGTCAATCGTACAGTCCATTGTTGGTCTGACTGTGCACTAGTGGCTTCCGCGTTTTCAGATCCTTCACAACAATGTTAAAAGGAAAAAATTCAATAGACTTAAGATTGTCTTGACAGAATTTAGAAACAAAGAGAAGCTTGCGTTTAATTGAAGGGGCACACGGAGTGTTGGTTAGCTTAAAAACACTATTTGATGCATTTAATTTAGTAGAACTAGTGTGAGAGATGGAATTTTTGTTACCATCACCCATAGAGACATCCTCGTTACCACGGTATGACTGTAGGCTGTGCGACTCTGTTGTGATGTGATGGGTGGCTCCTGAGTCAACTATCCATGGGTTGGTGGCTTCCGTAAACCTAGCGACATAGGTGGCTTTCGCTTCAAAGTGATTATGAGACTTCGAGCGGCAAACATTGGCGGTGTGGCCAATTATGTTACATAGTTGACATCGAGTAACACCGTTTGGATTTAAATTGGACTGTCATTGTGGTGGAGTGCTTGGACGCAAATTCTGGAGCCATTGTTGAGAGTTGTTGGTCTGTCTACGATTGTTGTGATTATTGAAGTTGAATTTAGGGGGAGTAGCAACTGCAACAGTAATGGTACTAGGTAGTTTCTTAGCATCCTTGTGGAGAAGGAAGAGTTCAAAGTCCAGTAGCTTTTCAAACAGTTCCTCATAGGAGATAGTTGTATTGCGTGCACGAATGGCAGCACAGATCTCACAAAATTCAAGACCTAGATCACTGAGTATTTTGATGATGAGTTCAAGATTGGAAATAGAAGCACCAACAGTGGCTAACTCATCAGAAAATGATCGAATAGTCTGAAGATATTCAGTAATTGAGTGAGAGTCCTAAGTGACACGGGAAAGCTTATCATGCAAACCGAAGACCCGAGTTTGAGATTTGTTTGCATAAGTGGTATGCAAAGCATCCCAAGTTGATTTAGCCGAGTTCGCAACAACAACAGTAGAGGCAATAGTGGGTTCGACAGAAGCCATGAGGGCATTCTGGATGAGTTGATCCTGACGGAACCAAGTTAAGAAGCCAGGATTAGGAGATATATTCTTGCCGAGGGTAATCGTGTGACTGGGGGACGGAGTGGTTCCATCGAGATGGCCAAAGAGGTTGTAGCCATATATAAGCATGGAAAATTGGGCTTTTCAGGTGGTGAAGTTGTGACCACCGCTTAGTTTGGTGGGTAATTGGGATGCATGATTGAATTGAATGATAATATTGGTACCCGTCGGGTTATCAGCATTGACAACTCTGGGATTGTTGCCATTGTTGTTGCCATTATGATTGGTCATTGTTGCTGATCTGCATGAGGAGGAGAAAAAAATATTTGGATCGTACTCGTTAGAGCGTGAAGAGCCCTGATACCATATAAAGACTGAATGTGCTGGAAGGGTATATTATTATTAATGAAGGCAGAAGGTATTAAATAGAGCGTGAAGAGCCCTGATACCATATAAAGACTTGAATGTGCTCGAAGAGTATATTATTATTAATGAAGGCAGCAAGGTATTAAATAGAGTTGCAGGGGAAATAATAAGACTCCTAAATGAACTGAACTAAAGGAAGCTAAATAAATAATAATTGTTGAACTAGTAACGCAATCCTAATACAACTAAACTACTAATAGATGTCCTAACGCCAGATGTTCTAATACCTGTGTGAGAGAAAAACTCCTTTTTTTGAAAATGTTTGAGTGTATGTGTATGAACTAGGTTGTTTCATGTCAACCTAAGGTATATACTTATCTGATGGGAATGCGCTCTGTCCTCTTTTCCCGTGCACCAATCAATGGTGGAGCCAAGATTTTCAATAAGGGGGCTCAAAATCTACAAAAAATAGACATACGAAGTAGTCGAAAGAGGTTCTTCATCTACTAGATATACCTAAAAAATTATTTTAATCATGTATAAATTATATAATTTTCTGCCAAAGGTGTTTCGGATGAACCCCCTAATTGTAAGGTGGCCCCACCACTGGCACCAACCATGACAGAGTTGACAGCTTTTTCAGTGGTCCTCCATTTGTCCAGGAACAAATGATAGAGTTAAATTAGCTACTCAATGAAAGTATATGCCGAATAACAACCCCACTCTCATTCATATGCTTTTTGTCGCTAACTGAATTCCGATGAGTTCAAGTAAGCTAAGTTGTTATTTTCTTGTACTTTTTTTTAATCAAATAAAGTGATACCCAATGCACATATTTTGTTGACAGATGGGTTATATAAACTTATAGAGGTTGAAGGAGATTATCGTATACACTGTGCACTCACGGTCAAGTAATTTATGTTTGTGTTATCATAAAATCAGAAATCATGGAGAGATCAAGTCGTAGTCATGAGATTTATATTTATATAAAAATTAACTACTTTTGCATTAGTAGAGTTATTTATCAGTTTGTTAGCAATCCATGTTTTTTAATAAATTTAATCTTGACGAAATTCACTATTTTATGTATCAAATAGACTTCACAATAACCAAGTTTGCAGTACAAAATTGAAATCAATATTTCTCTCACCAACAAAGAATTGAAGGTCATTCAGATAATTGTGGTGTCCGGACCAGCTTGCACGCAGGGGCGGAGCCACCTTATTATACTAATTAAGGGGGTTCATCCGGCTGAAAATTATATAATGTATACATAGTTGAAATAATTTTTATGTATTATAAGTTTTATGTATATATAGTCTTATTGAAAATTCTGATTCCGCCACTGCTTGAGCGTACGTCGACTAATTACATGAGATATCTGTTATTGCCACCAGCATCCACAAAGGTTTATATGATCTAATTTCTAGCTTAAGAAAGACACAGTAAGCTAGTAAAGTAACCACTGTAGTTCTTACACGTTTATCTGAGTTGCTGATGATGATGATGTTGATGTTGATGATGATGACGACAATGACGATGATGACGACGATGATCTAGGTACTAGGTGAGTTGATTCATATCTTCTGTCAAATAACTTCATGCAATATCTTATTTTAAGTGGTTAGGAATTACAATAATCAATCAACCAAATCATAAATTTGGACCATAGAGGTCGACGATTCTCCTCATCTTCGATACTGCTGAACAACTGAAGTAGTACAGAGAAAGTCTACAAGAGGCAAACATCCACCGTAGTTGGATGAAGGAATTTGTATCCTTAAATGTGCATGAAAATGTTCCTTCCAAATATATCTTCTATGATCATTTAACTTCAAAATTTCAATCTTATCTTACTACTTTCTCTAGTGTTGTTGAACCTACATCTTATGGAGAGGCTGTGAAAGACCGAAGAGATAGATGCATTGGAGAGTAATCAAACATGAACCATTGTTCCACTTCCTCATTATAAAAGATCTATTGGCTGCAAGTGGATAGACAAAGTAAAGTTTAAGTACTCAGAATTTCATTCATGTTTTTCAGTAAATATCTGCATATACTTGTATTGGGATACTTATTAATTGATTGGGTGTTAACACAATTCAAACGCGAATCAACAGGAGTATGGAAGTGTAGTTCATCAAAACTCTCAATTTGAACAATGGAAGCAGAGGTTTATCCATATAGCAATACAAATTAATGCTATATGAAATGAAAGAAAAAGAGCAAACAGAGATATGCGTCACTGTTGATAATGTTCAAATTGACATAAACACACAATTTAGAAATAGAATCGCGAGTGATTCAAACACTTCACTTTTCGTGGCAGGAATAAGAGGACTATTATCTGCAGCTGACACTGATTACCTTCTTGGTGAATGAAGTTGTGCAACTCAAGTTGCCGAAGCAATCTGATGCTCTAAATGGAGAAGTCTCTCTAGATGATTAAGCTGGTAATCAACGTCATACTGCAGATAATAGTCCTCTTATTCCTTCAACAGGCCGAGACAGCTCCATTAGCTCTCTTGTTCACTCCCTCTGGTCTGATTACGGGGCTATTACATCTTTGAATCGTAGCTTTCGCTTAATAATAAGGAGTGTGGAAGTTTACAGACTGTGTCATCAACATGGGGTGGTTGAACATTGGGTTTAGTTTTCTTGCTATCTACTTGAATGGGAAGATTTTTTATCCCAGTCATTGTCATTGGATGCATGTACCATCAGTGAATCCCAATGAATGCTTTGTGTTCTCAGATGAGGAGTCTTTTGCAGTTAGGACAGAGCTTCTTGTGTTTGGAAAGGAGATTTTGTCCATGTCATTTATCGTTACAGTATAAACACTTGGTCATCTGGAATGCAAATGAATGCACCAAGGTGTTTGTTTGGCTCTGCTAGTTTTGGGGAGATTGTCATTCTAGCTGGTGGTTGTGACTCACGGGGTAATTTACTTAGAGCAGTAGAGCTTTACAATTCTGAGACTGGAACATGCAAGATTTTACCAAGCATGAAAAAGCGGTGTAAGATGTGTTCTGAGGTATTTATGGATAGAAAGTTTATTATTTTTTCTATGTTGTCTTTTAAGTTTTGATGATTTAACAAACTTTGGACCTGATCCCAGACGAAACTGAGAGTTTCGTACTTGTAAAAAGACAGTTGTCCAAAAGCTGCAGCCTGCTGTGGTTGGTGCACATCTTTTGGCAGAACAACAGACTCTCATCCAATGAGAGTGCTCCAAGGATTTGTGTTCATCTTATATTAGTCTTTTCTTCAACAACAAAAAATAGTTTTTGAATCCAAACAAAACTCACAAGCGCAAAAAGGCAAGGCCATTCTCTCAAGAAATATTATTCGGAAGAACAACGGGTGACCTAATACAGTTATCATTGTTCTTAGTTTTCCTCTAGGTTTATATTTCTGTGCTTATCATGTGTAGATCTATTCCTGTGATATAAATTAGATCGGATGCTTGTCTGAGTTTTTTAGCTTTGAGTCACATTAACTAGAGTTAGTCAGTCGAATCTTCTATATTCCAGTCGAGCGTCTTTTCGTTTTCTTTGTTTGATGTTCTTTTGGGTAGAGTTGCCTAAAAGTATCAACTAGAGTTAGTTGAAGTGTGGATGCAGTAGAGTTGATGTTTGTTTCTTGTCTTATCCTTGAGATCTAAGTTGGTGGCTAGAGTTAGCCAGTTGGGTTCTTGAAGTCTAGATCGACTGAAGCTAGTTGGTTTAGTGGGCAATAGAGTTATTGCTTAGTTCTTTTGCTTGTAGTAGAGTTTCAGGGATCAAGAGTTTAATTTCTAGATTACTAGAGATTTGTAATCTGAAGCTTTGCTCCTTTATAGTTAATTGAGTTTGGGTTGAAATCCTGTGAGGCAGGTCGTGGTTTCCTCCTCTATTGAGCAAGGGGGTGTCCACTTAAAACTCTTCTGTGTGTTTTACTTCCAGATTCTTACTTTCTGCATTGTAATTTGGTAAAGGGACCTGGTCCATTAACTATTAGTGGACGCATACATTCTATCAAAGTTTTATGTAATTGGAGGCAATGGAGGAACAGAGTTATGAAAGGTAGTAATGACTTGTGGAAAGGAATATGATCTGGAACAGGAAAATTGACTGAATTTTCGAACATGTCTTCTGTCCGAGCTAAATCTAAGGATGATACGCCTGCTACATCTGAAGAACCTCCTTTGGTGGCAGTTGTAAATAATGATTGCATGCTACTGTTTATGCTAACATGGAGGTGAGGAAGTATGACAAGCAAAATAAAGCACAGGTTACCATGAATGGTTGGGATTTGGCTTTTAGAGCTTGTGGTGATAGGCTAATTGTAATTGGAGAGCCTAGAGCCATTGGTGTAGGGTATTTCGAAGTGAATTCATGGGTTCAAGTGAAGGACCCCCTCAGTGGAACTTGCTTTGACGAAAGCGATCGATGCTTTGTGTATAACTGTCCTGTTGTGGGTTGCTGATCATGTGATTTTCACTAGTCGAGACAGAATGAGTTTCTGGGATTCTTTTCAATCTCTATCTCTGTTACACAGTTTCATCATATGACTTCATCTCGAACTTTAACCTTAAATTCCCATGAGAATGCTGGTTAAAGTTTTTCATGTCTCTTTTCTCTGCCATTTAATCATAAGGCTTACGTATACCCCAAGGATAAAAGCAAACTGGACTACATTCCCATGCGTCTCTATCTCTTCCTTCTTCAGAAAACTGTATACGTAAACTGGACTACATTCCCATGCGTCTTGATTTCAAAAACTAATAAACTGATTCCAAATCCATCATTTTGATCTGAGTCGTTGAACAGTCTTTACTTTCTAGCACAAACACAACCAATCCATCATTTTGATCTGAGTTGAAGCCCAAATCTCCAACACCTTTTTTGTGATGAATTAGAATACTTCCAGCTCTAGGCACCTTTTTTGTGAGGACTCATATTGTGGCTGGCATAGTCTATGCATCCGATGCTAGTGATGTACGTATGGATAGACTTGCAAGAAAGGTTTAACAAAATTGATGGTTCACAAGCGTATAATCTACATTAGGAAATACTCCTTTTATTACGGATGTGCAATCTGTATCTGTGTATCTACAGAGGTTGAAACTGTATCAGTTTCTAGTGGGCTCAATTATACATAAACAGTATGATCAATTCTGCAGGATTCTAGAAAACAAGAAGACTATCGTACCCTCTGCTACATCAAACAACCCAAGCTAATATGTTACAAATGAACTCAGACAACAACAGATTCATGTAGTGAACATTGCAGTACAACATAAGTCTACAAGAGGCAAACATCTACCTAGTTTATGAGATTCTCATCACTGGTTACAATCTACAACCAGAGAGTATGATTACTGGTAAACGAATAGGAAAGCTGTTATACCTCACAGTAACAAGGCCTGATATATGATTGTGAGATTCGTTAATTTTCAAAATTCTTTATGTTTTGAACTCTTCTGTTTTATTGTCAATACAACAATGCTTCTTCACTCTTCTGTTGGCCTCATTTACTTTTGGTTTTGGAGTCGATGAAACAATTTTTTTTGCTACATCAGTTAAGATTCTTACAAGTTACTTCACCCATGCCATAGTAATTTTAATGGAAATCTGCATTATAGCTTCAGCAAACAATAGTTTAGTATTTGCAATCGATAACAGTGAGTGGGATTCTTCACTTCAAAGATTTGCAATATATTTGGATGAATTTGCGTGAACAAAATCTTATCATAAAATTAAACAGTTCCCGAAAGGTTATCAACTAGATATTTCGGTGAAACAGAAGCTAAGGGTGTACAAGCACTAAATTCATTCCAGTTTCAACAAAATTACCCTAAGGAAACTAGACTTTCGACATAACTATAAATGCCTTTGATGTAGTTTTCCTTAGGAAGCCCCATGATTTTTAATTCCCTCCAACTCTTTCTCGTGACATCATAACACAAACAAGCACCACCCGACTTGAAGATGACGACGAATACAATCTCCCCATCACGGGACATGACGGATGATACGAATCCAGGCTTCATAGGATTCCATATTGAGGGAAGGCGAATGATATGTCTCTCCCATTTTCTTTGTGGAGTCTGCTCTAAAATCCATAAGTCAAGGTATCCACCTACCCATTTTCTGCAATCTATGACCTCTAATTTACCCTTCACCTCTATCAACTCGTAGTAGTTCGGTGACTCATGAGATGAGTTCCACAATGCAATAGTTTCACATTTTTCAGATTTAATATCAATTGCAGCTATAGCACCATTAATAAGCTGATATATAACTCCACTAATGCAGACACTAGGCTTAAAATACGGAATAGCAAAGGAAATGTTTTTATTCTCTCTCCATGATTCGTCTATGCCTAAAGTGAAAACCCAGTGTCTTTCTTTGTACCTTGAAAAAACTTTGAACTTCTTTTCTTCAGGCTCAAAACCTAATGAATAGTTACAAGAAGAAAATTCTCCATCTATGTTGGGAAGAAATCTTACTTCTCTTGTACTCGGATTGAAAATTGCAGCAGGTCGTGTAGATAATGAGTCCCACATGCAACATAAACCATTACCGCAATTCAACCGAGAATAATATGCAAGGCCATGGAGGTAGAGGTAATTATATCTCGCAATTTGCAAAAAAGGGGCGGAGTCTTTTTCATCTTCTCTTTGCTCAGCCGTGAAAAAAATTGATTCCCATTTTTCGCGCAGAATGAATTTTGTTCCGCCAGGACGGCTCATAGAACGACAAGTATGGATATTCACAAAATCTAATTCCGAGACAAGAGATGTACAAAATTTTGTACTACACTTGAATCGCAATAAAGATTTAACCGGAAGCCATGAAAATATTTCAAACATAATTTCTTCCGGAATCAATAGATTCATCTTATGATTCATAGTTGCACGCTTTTTTTTTTTAGGTCTAAAACAATTTTATTATATAATGTATATTTATCAGTTCATTTATATTGGGGTTTAATGACTTTAGGACTCTCTTTTTTTCTCTCTCTAAAAATAGTACTAGTACATTTTTTCTATTAGAATTAGGAGAAAAAGGGTAAAATTATTGATCTGAAATACAACTTCTTCCAAAGAGTCCACTTAGGATTAGTTTAGACTTTTTACTATCACTTTAGGTTTAGAAATCTTTTACCAAACCATTACGTAGCTTTAATTAAATTCGTTTTATATTATTATTTATTGACCAATATTGTAGAGGTAGATTATGCAATGTGTAAAGTAAATATAAATTCTCTTCTCATATAATTTTTTTTTTTGCTATTGGGTATATAATTATGTAGATTAATACAGTATTATTTATAATCATACATTGGTTATTGTATAATTCTCTTTATATCTTTTAAAATATGTAATTTTATTAATTATTTATTGTCAATATCTATATATGATAGGAGAAGTAAAAAGTGTCACATGTTAGCACCACATAATTTCTTAGATTTATATACAATTAAAATTATTAAAATTAATTATTTGTAGTTAATTTAAATAATACATTACAATTTAAAAAAATAAAAAATTTAAAGCTTTTAAAAAAAATTAATGTGATATATTTCATTACAGTATAAAAGTCGTATAATTTTAAAGCATTATTTAACTGATATATAAAATTGTAAAAATAATTTAAAGTTACCTTAAAATTTAAATTAACATCAATTGAAAATAAAATATTATATAAATATTTTTAAAACTTTACATAAGGTTTATTATAGAAACATATAAATATTTTTAAAACTTTACATAAGGTTTATTATAGAAACATATACATATTTTAAAAACTTTACATAAGGTTTATTATAGAAACTTCTATTTTTATATTAAAAAAATAGTAACCAACTAAAAAATGTCATTTCCTCGCTTATAAAAAAAAAATCGAAGTACTATTCAAATTTAACTAATCAAAACAAATAAAAATTAACTAATCAAAACCAAAATCTAAAAAAATAAAACTAAATCTGTATTTTAAATTTTAGGTGGAAAAAAACTCCAAAATCTAAACAAATAAAGCCACACAAACAAAAATAGTAATATATGAATCCAAATATTTAGGGATTACAGTTATCTTAAAAACGGTAATAGAGTACGCTTTTTTTTCAATTAAATAGAAATAAAAATTTCAAAAAGTGAGGGTGATTATTAATTTTATTCAAAAAAAGAAAAGAAAAAAGAAATGCACCACGTTAGTCTGTGGAGAATTTTAAGGAACAATTTCAATCAGTGGAGAATTTTAAGGAATAATTTCAAATTTTAAAATTAATATAGACACTGAAAAATAAAAGTAAAAGTACAAACCTAATAATAATAATAATAATAATAACAATAATTATTTTATTTTATTTTTTACAAATGTTCCAAATGACAGCCACACAAAATAATATAAATAAAATTCTACAATTTCAAAATATATATATACACGTCCTTTTCCTACCAAAAAAATTACGAAAATATTAAAAATATACAAAAACAAATAATATATATATTCTTTTCAATTTTAATTTGAATTGATATGAATCCTTATTTGATTGATGTTTTATGAATTTCAAATTGATGACAACTTCTCATCAACGGTTTATTCAGACATGGAGTTTTCGGGTGCTCGAGCACCCATTAACCTCGTATCGAACTATATATACTTATATAGTAATTAAGACAAAATCGTATAAAACTAAAGGTGAGCACCCATGCAACAAACGATTCATTTGGCGTGTTGGTTGAAAGTGGCTGCTCAAGCCTTACATTTTGCTTCTCAGCCCGAGTTCAAATTCCTCTAAACACATTATTTCTACCTTTTCAACTCTTCTCTGTCTACCTTTTAATTTCCAATTACACTTTCTTTTATTTATTTATTTACTTTTGTCCTTGATCTATTTTCCCTTTCACATTGTCCCGCTGAATTTTCTTAAATTAAATTTTTTACAAAAGTTGCAAAATTCCTTCTCCCTTTTTCAATATATTTTTACTCTAGTTTTTTTATTAATTTTTTTTTGCTATCATATTTAAATATCATTGTTATGACTAGTGTTAAATTTGTGCATTTATATTTTGTGATTGATAGTTAAAGAAAGCAACCGTGATCTTAAAATCTTGAAGCGGCCACTGCTCATGTTTATTATGCAACTTAATCACGATTTTCCATGTTTATTTACGTTTTCTTTCTTGTCAGTCTAATTAGGGGAAATGAAAAGGAAAGGGAAAAATATTATATTCTAGAGCCTTCATTTAAGTTCTCCAACTCAAAAGCAAAAAAATTCTCCTTCTCGTTGGTTTGCCGTTTTGGTAATTACAATCGTACGTGAAAGTATATTGTTCCTCCTCTTTATTTTTTTGTTGAACCAATTAAAAGAATTTTGATTGACTATTGAATTTATTTTTTAAAAAAAAAACACTCTTGTTGAGGAATTTTAGCGCGCAATTACGCTCTTTGGTTAATACAAGTTTATATTAAAAATAGTAAGCACCCATAACCATAAAATCCTGGATCCGCCACTGGGTTTATTAACTTCTCATAATAAATGACTTCTTACTGCATTAACCACAATCAATTTGAAATCTATCTATATATCTATCTATACTATAATTGATAAATTACTTATATATACATCTTTTTTTCCCATTATTCCCTACCAGTTTTAAAATTTTCCAAAATCCCTTATTTTTCTCTCAAACTTCCAAAAGCTGGATACATAAATCCTAACTCCCAAAAGGTGAAAATTGTCACATGTCACATGTCAGCCCCACAAAAATTCAATAATTTTAAAATTCAAAAAATAATTTAACAATCTTTTAAATATATATCTTAAATCAACAAAAAAAAAACTTTAAAAAAATAGTATCCAACTAAATAATTCCATGTTTCTTTTTATTTCCTAAAATTAAAAATTAGTTATTGTTTTTTAATTGAATTTAAAACTTCATGTTTTGAAATATAATTTATAAATAAAAGGCAAATTTATAAATAAAATGAAATTTTTTAAATAATAATAATAATATTAGTAATAATAATAATATTAAATAACAATATAATAATAATTTGAATAATTATGAATTTGAATTGCAAATCAGTTAGTTTCACGAAAACAATTTTTTAATTTGAATTTTAAAATTTCTTGTTTTGAAATACAATTTAAAAATAAATGGAAAATTGTTAAATAATAATAAAAATAATGATAATACTACTACTACTAATAATAGTATAATATAACACTAATAATATAATAATATAGCAATAATAATATTATTATTATTATTATTATTATTATTATTATTATTATTATTTGGATAACAATAAATTTGACTTGCAAATCAGTATTTCAAAAAAATATAGACAACAAAGTGCATGTTTTCCCGGCTCCTCTATTTTAGCCAGAGCCATCAATATGGACTAGGCACGTTGTGCCGGCTGGCCTAATCCGTAATTTGATAGGATTGGGTACAATTTTTGAAGCCCATTTAAGAAAAAAACTTTTTAGCCCAACCTGAATATGCCTGTCGATTTGTGGAGATTGAGAAATATGGATAGGGTCAGCCCGTGAGCCAAATAAAAAAGAATTAAAAAATAAAAATAAAATAAAGTATTAAAAATAACAGGAGTCTACACTCAAAATTTGTGTAAAGTTTGAAATAGTACAATATAAATACAAATTATGTTTATAAAATAAGTACTACATAAAATAAAGTTTCTAAAATTTCTAGGGAATCACTACATAGGCCATCATAGCCTATGGAATATTATCATATTTTTTGTGTTTTATTATGATTATTGGAAAATAATTAGGTTAATATTTCTATTTAGCTATTTATGTTTTTACTTGAAATCAAACTCAATAAATATTATATAGATAATTTTATTTGTGTATTTGATTAATAAGTAGTAACACTAGTCGATATTTATGATAATATTTTTAAATTATAATTTAATTTTAAAAATTATAAAAATATATTTTTAAGAAAAGAGGGCTGACCCATAGCCCACACACTTGTAGGTTGGGACGATCATTTTTTGGCCCACTTAAAAAATGGGATAGCCTAGCCTGACCCGTTAAATTGCAAAGCCTTTATGAGTTAGCCCGGATGACATGGGTCAGCCCTTATTGACAGCTCTAAATATTTAACAATTAAAATAGAAGTACAAGTTAGTTTTTACTTCTTTATTTTTTTTACAAAATAACATTTATCCGAAATCAATATCTTAACCAGCTAGCTTTTTGAATTTATTACCAATTACTTTCTTATTTGTATTAAATTAATTTAAATGATTAATATAAATATTAAATTAAAGTTAAAGTTAAAAATCTATTGATTGCCTCACGTTTATTAAACTTTAAAACTTATTACAAATTAATTAATATAAATATTAAATTAAAGTTAAAGTTAAAAATCTATTGATTGCCTCACGTTTATTAAACTTTAGAACTTATTACAAATTTCTGAGGTTTTTGAATTTAAAACTGATTATAACTTATATTTACAGTTTTAGAGTTTTAGCTTTTCTGTTCTTTGTTTCCTCTCTCTATAAATACAAAACACTGTAATTATGTTCTTTTTTTATGTAATTTTTTTTAAAAAGAGAATCATTGTGAGAAATTTTAATTATGCTTTATGGCTTTCAGGTAACAAATTAAATTATACCTTTTTTTCGTTGAGTTTATCTCTTTGCACTGTTTCTATAATAAAAATTGAATTAAGAAAATACTCAACATACACAAGAGGATCTTCATTTGAAGGACCCAAATTCAACATAAGATTTTTTTTTTCTTTTGGTCTTATATATTCAACATAAGATTGAAGTAAAGGTATTGCGACGTAGTCTTTAATAATATATATATTACGAAAATATGAAAATGTTGATCAACTTTTTGAACGAATTGACAACATTATAC